CACATCATTAATAAAGAAGAGCACCTTTTTTTTTTCTCTTTTATCAATACCGCTAGTTTTGAGACGCGTGTCAATTTTGTATGTGATGACATGTCATCTTTGTACCTTTGGACAACTTCCCTCCTCTATCCCGACCATTTACTGTAACTGTTAGAATCCCACACCGATTAGACATGCTCAAGCCTATTGGTTTATCAGAGGAGGTAATCCTTCCATTCAACAAGGTCTTATTAGGTGAGGAGTCAAACCTACCTCAAATTCTATCATGGTGTCAAAACCCAGGTTCAGTTGAGCTGAGTGTTTGACCAATGGATAAGGAGTTAAAGCTGACAACTACCTTCAATAACAGGCATGACCCAACATATGAGTTTGACCGTGAGGAGGAGTGTTGGAGTCTCACACCGACTAGACATGCTTAAGCTAACTGGTTTATAAGAGGGGGTAATCCTCTCATTACCTTATTGGATGAAGAGTCAAACCCATCACAAATTCTATCAAGGACTGTTACGTATCCCAAAATTTGACCGAAACATTGCTGCAATATTTTTTTTTTCATAATATCACGACACGAGAAGAGGGAATGAGATATTGATGCCTTGGAGGCAACTCGGAGAATCAATCCAAGGCATCAATTCTCTCATCAATAGTCTTCTAATAAAAGATATACGGAGAACAAAGATTTGATGAGAGAGGGCTGACCAAAAATATTAGAAGAATGCTATTATGGAGCAGAAATGAAGGACCAATCTGTGGAACTTATTGTGCAGACAAACTGATATTATGGAGCAGAGTTGAAGGAGCAATCTATGGAACCTCTTGTGCAGACAAACTAAAAGTGATACATGGAGTAATTTAAGGAGTTTGTTAATGATAACGGCTCTGTGCATATATTGCTCATGTTTATCTTCTTTCCTTTTCTTTTTCACCTTATGTGTAGTAGTATTTGATTCTTTCTTTTCTTGAACTCAAGTCTCTGTATATAAATTCTCTTGTACATGGCACATAAGAAATAAGGTTGTGAGTTAATCTTTCCCTTTTTTGTTGAGTTTTATTATGGTATCAAAGCACATGCTCTAATTATATATTTTTTTTCATCAACAGCTCAACCCCAAAATAATCCTTCGAACCAAGTGGTTCAAACCCGAAATAACCCTTCAAACCAAGATGTTCAACCCACAAATGATTCATCAAACGAAAATGTAGCTGTGACTTCCCTAGAGGCCTTTTTCAAATCCATACACTTTGTACCATTCAGATAATCCAACTGTTGTTCATGTATCTCCACCTCTTAATGGAGATAATAACTATAATACCTAGTACAAATCAATGCGAATGTCCTAGAGAGTAAAGAACAAATTGGGAATTGTAGATGGAACAATCAAAACTCCAAATCCCACATCTCAGACTTACAAGCAGTGGGTCCGAGCCAATGACATGGTTATGTCGTGGTTAATTCACTTAATGGTTCCGGAGCTTGCTCAAAGTATCATTTATGCTGATACAGCTCAAGCAATTTGGGAAGCCTTGCAAGATCACTTTTCGCAACCAAATAGCACAAAGATGTATGAGATAAAAAAGGGAATTTCATATTGTTTATAAAGAGATCTCCCTGCCACTATTTATTATACTTGGTGGAAAAGCTTATGGGATGACTCGGCATCATATATAACAATTCCAAGTTGTTTGTGTGGGATAGCAAATGCAGTGAATGAGTTACTTCAACAAGACCATGCAATGCAATTCCTACAAGGACTCAATGATGGGTATACTGCTTTTCGTAGTCAAATATTGTTGAGAGAACCTCTCCCACCCGTGAATAAAATTTACTCATTGTCACTACAAGAAAAGAGACGACTTATCTCTATGTCAACATCTACTTCAAATGAAGGGTTAGCATTTGTGGCATCACAACCCAATAGCCAAAACATAAACAAAGGTTCAAATGCTCCAGCTCATAACAAATCTGGAAATTGGCAAACATCAAACCAAGGAAACGAATCAAAAAGTCATTCAAAGGGACATTGTAATCATTGTGGGAAGGAAGGCCACACCATTGCCAAATACTCCAAAATACATGGATATCCACCACGCAATAATAATCAATCTCAGCGTCATGGTTTTGTTGTGTCATCTGAGGAACAATCCACTTCCACTTCAGTAGCATCTAACTCAAACACTAAAGAACCTTTGATTTCATCTACCCCGACTTTAACACAAGAGCGGTATGATCAAAAAGTTGCCATGCTACAACGAGGTAGAATTGATCGCGTGTCTAATTTTGCAGGTATTGCTCTTAATAATTCATGTTGTGCCTAAAAAATCACACTAATGTCAACTCTATCTAAAAGACAAAGTATACTGGCTGTCAAGCCCATACCGCCTCACAGATATTTTATACCAACTCTATCTCATTTTAAGATAAGGATGAATGAGAACTCTCCAAGTGTCAAGGAAATTTACAAAAACACTCATTACATTGACCTCAAAGGTGTATAAATGGGCACCTCTCTTTGTAAAAGGAGAGGTTGGACATACGAGAGTTAGGCACATCAGAGCTTATTTTTCTCTGTAAACAAAGTATTTATCTATCTTTGTATGTCTTACAGGCAATATCATGGAAATAATCCGAGAATAATAAAATATCAATGGACGTAGGATTTGCTGAAGGCATCCGAACCACTTTAAAAATCATCTTCTATTTTATTTATTTTCATTTTCATTCACATGTAATTTCTAAGCCAGCTTAGCACTTTGCACGCGCGAATCGTTGATGTCAAAATCAAGCATCAACAATTCTCATAATGATGCTTGGATTATTGATAGTGGAGCCACAAATCATATGTGTTACACCCTTCAGATCCTTCAAACCTTGTCCCCCAACACCTCTCTTTCAAGTGTTCAATTGGCAGATGGCTCTACCACACAAATAACAAAGATTGGTTCCACCTCCATTAATTCTTCTCTTCATCTTGATAATATATTTCTCATTCCAGCTTTTAAGTTTAATTTGATGTCAATATCACAAATTACAAAAACACTTAATTGCTCAATAACCTTTTTTCCGGATTATTGCATTTTTCAAGACCTCACCACGAAGAAAACAATTGGAGTGGGTAAATGTTGGAATGTTCTTTATCAAGTGCATCATCTAGCTGCAAATTTTTACGCCAATGTGAAAACCTCCTTTGACATTTGGCATTGGCGTTTAGGACATCTCAGCTAATCGAACAAGTTTTATTTCTGCTTTAGATCCTCAAATTTCTTTCTCTAATAAAAGTTTTTTGTGATGTATGTCCTTGGGGAAATACACAAGAAACTCATTTCCTTCAAGTAAAATAAAAACGACCTCCCCTCTTCAATTGCACCATTGTGATATTTGGGGAGGTTTCTCAATTCCAAGCAATTCTAACGCATATTATTTTTTGACTATTGTGGATGACTTTAGTCGTTGCACTTGGGTCTTCTTGATGAAGCACAAGTCTAAAAAAAATATTTTGTTTCTTTTGTCTCTACTCAATATAACATCAATGTAAAAAATATACAAACTGATAATGACATTGTCATAAAAAGTGATGATTTGCAACATGCTTTTCCCATAAAAGGTATTCGCATTGATAATGGGACTGAGTTTCTCTCGAAAGATTTGCAAGATTTTTTTAATTCTCATAGGGCACAAACATCGTCATTTACTTGATGTTGCTCTTAACCTATGATTCCAAAGTCATCTCCCTTTAAATTTTTGGGGAGAGTGTGTTCTCACTACTACTTATTTAATTAACAAAATTCCCTCACCTGTTTTAAATAACAAAACCCCTTATGAAATGCTTCTTGGGCATTCCCCTTCTTATTCTCATATTAGAGTTTTCAGATGTCTTTGTTTTGCACATAATCTTTCTCCTCAAAAACAAAAATTCGATGCCCGTTCCAAGCCTAACATTTTTTTAGGTATCCTTTTGGACAAAAAGGATAAAAAATTTATGATCTTGAAACAAAAACCATCTATACCTCCAGGGATGTTTTATTTCATGAACTTGTTTTTTCATATTGTGATTCTTATACTCTACCATATAATCATCTTGTGTTGCCTTTGCCTATTTTCGATAATGGAGGTACAACTCTCACATCTGAATCATCTTCTAATGTTAGTAGCACATAATCTCCTAAAGCAGAATGTCAGCCTGTTCTAACTCGATCGATGTGCACCACTCCATTTGAATGACTACATATGCAACACCATCATTTCAGTAACTTGCCCACAGCTAATGTCTTCTCATGGTTCAGATACGCTTTATCCTTTGTCTAATTTCATTTCTTATAACTGTTTGTCCACTAACCATTAAGTTTTTTTTACAACTGTTGACTCTAAAGTGGAACCCACAAACTTTTCCCAAGCAGTTAAAATTTCAGAATGGAAAGAAGCAATGGCCAAAGAAATAGATTGTTGAAGATGGTGATAATTTGCTGTAAATGCAGAATTATTCAGTTAAAGCTTCAAACTGTTTTTGGTGCCAAGTGTTCAAGTTGTTTTTACGGGTGCAGTGGTTGAAGCTACTGTTTTGATGAATTAGTGTGATGTTTTGTTGACATGTTTAGTTGAGTTTAGTTGAGATTAAGACATATTTTGTTGTAAGCTTATTTCAAAATTCAAATGTGTAAAATTTATCCACTGCATTAGGTTGTTTTAGGTAAAACAGTGGACTGGTCTTGTACATATACTATCCATATTCTATGAATGAAAATAGAGCACTCATTTCCAGTTGCAGCCATCTCTTTCCTTTGCAAAATCTCTCTTCTTCATCACTCTCTAGTAGAACTATCTGAACCAACAGTTGGTATCAGGGCCGTAATTGATCTTAAGGGCCTGATACATTCATCTCTTCCTATCCAACTCCTCAACCTCTGTTATGGTGAAACCTTTGTCAAACTCCAAACAACTTGATTCAATGGCACAATACACAGCTTCTTTTAGTCCTCCAATCTTCAATGGTGAGCAATAGCACATGTGGACTGTCAAAATGAAGACCTTCTTGAGGGGACAAGTTTTGTGGCTGTATGTTGAAGAGAACAAGCAGCCACCTACATTGGGGCCAAACCCCACATTGAATCAAATTAGGCATCATGAGGAGGAAGCTACTAAAGCTCCTAGAGCTTTGTCTCATATCCATGTAGCTGTAACTGAACTTGTTTTTACAAGAATCATGGTGTATGAGACAGCCAAGGAAGCATGGGACAAGCTCAAGAAGGAGTTTGGTGGTAGTGATACAACTAGGAATATGCAGTATTGAACTTAAGGAGGGAGTTTGAGATGCTGAAGATGCAAGAATTAGAATCAATAAAGGAGTATGTGGATAGGTTGATGAATGTGGTGAATAAAATCAGATTGTTGGGTGAGGAAATGACATACAAGAGAATTATGGAGAAAGTATTGGTGAGTCTACCCGAGAGGTTTGAGTCTAAGATTTCTTCACTTGAGGACTCTAAAGATCTGTCACATATCACACTCACTGAATTGGTGCATGCTCTACAAGCTCAAAAGCAAAGGAGGTCGTTGAGACAAGAGGATTCAAGTGAGGGTGCAATGGTGGCAGGCTTTAAAGGCAAAGCTGGTCAGGGAGGAAATAAGAGGTCTGCTGCATATAAGAAAGGGAAGGAGAAAATAAGTAATTAGTGGAACAAATCAGGTGGAATGGGGAGTTTCCACCGTGTTCTCACTGTAAGAAGAAGGGCCACTCCAAGAAGAGGTGCTAGTTTAGACCAAACCTTCAATGTAGAGCATGTAAGCAATTTGGCCACATTGAAAAAGTTTGCAAAAACAAGCCAATCCAGCCACCACAGCAAGCCCAAATTGTTGAAGATCAGCAGCCAAATTCAGAATCTGAGCAATTGTTTATGGCATCTTGCTGTGCAACTTAAGTTTACAATAATGCATGACTAACCACATGGCAACAAACGTGCAAGATTTTGTCAACCTAGACAGGGCATACCACTCCAAAGTTAATGTTGGAAATGGAGAGTTTGTGAATGTCAAAGGGAGAGGAGATGTTGCTGTGCAGACAAGGTCAAGTATTAAACTGATTCTTAATGTCTTCTATGTACCAGACATAAGTCATAATTTACTTAGTGTAGGACAAATGCTAGAAAAGAATTATGTCCTGCATTTCTATGACTAGTCCTACACAATTCTAGATAGTGAAGGCAGTGAACTAATGAAGGTTAAAATGATGGGAAAAGGCTTCCCTATTAGGCTAAAAAAACCAGAACCTAAAGTCTATACTACTGCTTAAGTAAATGAGTCTGAGTTATGGCACAAGAGATTTGGCTATTTCAATTACCATGGTCTTAGAGAAATTTAGACAAAAAATCTTGTCCAAAGCCTACCAGAAATCAAAGAAGCTGAGGCTATGTGTGCTACTTGTCAACTTGGCAAGATGAGTAGACAGCCCTTTCCCGTGAACCAAGCTTGGAGAGCTACTGAGAAACTCCAACTTATCCATACAGATGTGTGTGGACCTATGAAGACACCTTCATTGAATGGAAGCAAGTATTTTGTCTTGTTCATTAATGATTGGTCTAGGATGTGTTGGGTCTATTTTTTTAAACAAAAGAATGAAGTTGCAGTTGTGTTTGGGAGATTCAAGCTGCAAGTTGAAAACCAAACTAGTCTTAGTATCAAAACAGTGAGACGTGATAATGGGAGTGAGTACACTTCAAATGAGTTTGAATCAATTTGCAAGTAGGCGGGAATTAAACATCAATTTAGCAGTCCCTATACTCCACAGCAAAATGGAGTCAGTGAGAGAAAAAATAGGACTGTTATGGAGATGGCTCGATGCATGGTTGCTGAGAAGAAGTTGCCCAAGTCTTTTTGGGTAGAGGCAGTGAACACAGGGATCTATTTGCTCAATAGACTTCCCACTAAAGCTTTAGTTAATCAAACTCCTTATGAGGCTTGGTATGGGGTGAAGTCTACAATGGAAAATCCGAGAATTTTTGGAAGTATATGCTATGCACTTATCCTAGTAGTTAGGAGAAGCAAGTTAGATGACAAAGCCATGATATGAATCTTCATTGGCTATAATGGGCAATCCAAGACTTACAGAGTCTATGTTCTAGAAACTAAGAAAATTCACATCACTAGAGATGTGCAAGTAGATGAAAATGGTGTATGGAACTAGAAGAAAACTGAGATTGAAGAAGATTCAAGGGGGCAGTTAACATTTCCAACAGTGAGCCGAAATGATGAACAAGAGGAGACAGATTCAGATGATGACATTCTAGTTAGGGGTACCAAACCTCTGGTAAAGGTTTATGAAAGGTGTAATGCAACCTTACTTGAACTTGCAAATTATAATGAAGCTGCTAAATCAGATACTTGGAGGAATGCAATAGAGGAGGAGTTAAACATGATTGAGAAGAATGGCACCTGGGAATTGGTAGACAGACCAACAACCAGAAAGGTAATCCAAGTTAAATGGATTTACAAAAGAAAATTAAAACCAGATGGATTAGTTTATAGACATAAAGCAAGGTTGGTTGTCAAGGGGTTTGCTCAGTAATTTGGAGTAGACTTCTTGGATGCATTTGCACTTGTGGCCAGGCATGATACAATTAGGCTTCTACTTGCTTTGGCAGCCCAATTTCAATGGAGGATTTATCAGTTAGATGTCAAGTCTTCATTCCTGAATGGTTGGCTCAATGAAAAAAATTATGTGGAGCAGCCAGAGGGATATGAAGTAGAAGGGCAGGAGAACAAAGTTTATTTGCTGAGGAAGGCTATGGCCTAAAACAGGCCCCTAGAGCCTCGTATAGTAGAATCAAAGATCATTTGATTAGTTTGGGATACATGAGGAGCCCAAATGAATACACATTGTATGTGAGAGAGCTGGAAGGGGAGTTCATTATTGTATCACTATATGTAGATGATTTACTCATCACGGGATGCAGTCCAATTCAACTGGAAGAGTTTAAGAAGGCAATGCACAATGAGTTCAAAATGACTGATCTAGGGGAAATGTCTTATTTCCTTGGAATGGAGATTAACCAAACTCAACATGAGATATTTGTTAACCAAAGAAAATATGCTAATGAAATCCTAAACAAGTTCAACATGGATAGGTGCATACCAGTGGACACTCCATTGGCTGTAAACTTGAAGCTGAGCAAAGATGATGGGGCTGTGAAGATTAGTGAGGGAATTTATAAAAGTTTGATTGGCTGTCTATTGTACTTGACAACCACCAGGCCTGACTTAGTGTTTACTACAAGCCTCCTCTTTAGGTTTATGAGTAACCCAAGTGAAGTTCATCTTAAGGCAGCCAAGAGGGTGTTGAGGTACATTAAAGGAAGTTTTGATCTTGGTGTATGGTTTAAGAAGTCTAAAAACTTTTAGCTTGTTGGGTACTCTAACGGTGATTAGGCTGGATGTATTGATGATATGAGAAGTACTTCTGGCTATGCCTTCTTCTTGAATTTAGGAGCTATATGTTGGCTATCCAAAAAACAAGACACCATAGCTCAGTCTACAGCAGAAGTAGAATACATTTCTACTATTGCTGTCGTAAGCCATATGGCTTAGGAAAATCTTGGAGGATTTGAAGCAAACTCAGAAGAGTCCAACTGTAATCTTCTGTGACAACCAGTCAGCCATGGCAATGGTAAAAAAATCCTATCTTACATGGCAGAACCAAGCACATCAAAATTAAGTTCCATGCTATGAGAGAGGTAGAAATACATGGAGAGGTTAAATTGATCCATTGCAAGGGTGAAGACCAGGTGGTAGACATCATGACCAAGGCTTTATCTAAAGCCAAGTTTGAGAATTTAAGACTCAAACTTGGTGTTTCCAACAAGATTATCAAGGAGGAGTGTTAAAGATGGTGATAATTTGCTGGAAATGTAGAATTATTCAGTTAAAGCTTCAAACTGTTTTTGGTGCCAAGTGTTCAAGTTGCTGTTATGGGTGTAGTGGTTGAAGCTACTGTTTTGATGAATTAGTGTGATGTTTTTGTGACATGTTTAGTTGAGATTAAGACATGTTTTGTTGTAATTTTATTTCAAAATTCAAATGTGTAAAATTTATCCATTGCATTAGGTTATTTTAGGTAAAACAGTGGACTGGTCTTATACATATACTATCCATATTCTATGAATGAAAATAGAGCACTCATTTCTAGTTGCAGCCGTCTCTTTCCTTTGCAAAATCTCTCTTCTTCATTGCTCTCCAATAGAACCATCTAAACCAACATAAATGCTCTTGAGAAGAATAATACTTGGACTATCACATCTTTACCACATGGTAAACAACCCATCAGCTGTAAATGGGTGTACAAGATCAAGTATCGTTCATATGGGACCATTGAAAGGTACAAAGCACGTTTGGTTGCTAAAAGATTCACACAAATGGAAAGGGTGGATTACAAGGAAATATTTGTTCCGATAGCAAAGATGATGGCTGTTCATTGTTTTTTTGCCATAGCTGCTATCAAGGGGTGGTCTTTACACCAAGTAGATGTCAATAATGCATTCCTCCATGGAGACCTCAATGAAGAAGTTTATATGCAAGTGTCTCTAGGTTATTTTCGACAGGGGGAGAAAGAAAATTGTGTATGTTGCCTTAACAAATCAATTTACATATTTAAACAAGCAAGTCGTAATTAGTTTGACAAGCTAAGTCAATTTTTTATTTCTATGGGATATATTCAATCAAAGGCAGAACCCACACTTTTTTTCAAAAGGACATCACAAGGCTCTATTTTTGTTTTAATTTATGTTGATGATATCCTTGCAGCTAGGGCTGTTCAAATCCGGATATCCGATCCGAATGGCCTTATTTCTGATCCGATCCGGATTTTCGGATCAGGATATATCCTGATCCGAATCCGATCTGAAATATGTGGATATCCGTTTTTTCGGATATCCGATTTTTTGGATCAGACAACTGGATATCCGAAAACTATCCGAATTTTAGAAAATTCTTATTAAAAATTTAAAATCAAATAATTCTTCTAATAAAATTGAAATTACAATGCATGATTATCAACAAATTAATCCACAAGTTGTTTAATGCCAACTTAACACAGAATCTATTATCCAAATTACAATTACAAATTTAATAAAAAGACAAACAAAATAGCCAATTTAATACTAATATATTTTTTTTATCTTCATGCCAACTTCGTCACACCGACTTCACTCTATTAGGGTAATACATTTTCAGGAGTAGGATTTACATTGTCACTTGTCACCGGTGTCGACGTATGAACGACATTTGAAGTCCCACAAGTAGTACTATTATTTTCACCGGTAGATGATATCTACAATATCAATACAAAAGAATATATCAATTAAAACATTTGAAATAAATAATTAACAAGTAAATCCCATTTTATTTTTAAGTGATACTTACATGATTTAGATGAATCTTCTAAGATTATCATTATGATATCAATAAATTGAATGCACCATAAAGATATAATTAGCACATTCTCAAATTAGTATACACAAAATAAATGTATATTAGGGAAAGGTTGTGTATGATTAATCTTCTAAGATTATCATTCTGATATCAATAAATTGAATGCACCTTAAAGATATAAATGTATATTAGGGTAATGTATATAAATTAAAATTGTATGGTTATTTGAAATTTGGAAGGGGTGTGCATAAAAA